ATAAAAAGTATTCTGGAAGGACTGCTTGAAGTCTGATAAATTCAATGCTTTAACTGGATTGATATAATTCTACAAGGCTTTTGAAAGCAGCAGGCTTTTCCTGTCATAATACAAAGGATTAAACAGTAAAATTACATGTACAGATGTATACAGACATGTTCCTGCATACATATTGAAAGGAAATCTATCTGATCCATTCCTACTGTTATGTGAACTAAAAAAAAAATTGCATTAAGGAGGAAAAGAGATGGCGTGAGATGGTATGAAAGGACTTCAAGTGAGAAGCAACTGAGAAGCCGTTTTGGAGGGACTGAACAAGATGCAAAGAAAGTTTCACCACACAATGGCGCCACAGTTAATGTGAATTGCACCCTTATATATAACACTACAGCCAAAGATAATGTGTAAGTGGAAATCTCCAAGGTTAATCTCAGGGACTGTCTTAGGTAAAGTGAGATGTATACACTTTGATAGATTAACGCGTATGTGATCCAGGCACTATTCCATAGAATAGGGAAAGTCTAAGGAAGGGAAGAAAACCCACCATGATGTTTACTGCAGGACTTCCATTGAATAGTTTTAATTAAGAAGGCTGTAAAAAGAGAACCACCTCTGGTTTTAGTATAATAGCTCAGATGGAGTATTTAGAAAAGGATCTCAGAAGTTGTTTATATCAACAATAAATTTCTGAATCACTGTATGGGCAGAAGATGCTTTGTATTCCTGCACCAGATGAAGAAAGGGAAGGCAAGATGGTCAAAGTTCCCTTAATATTACAAACAATGGAAATAATGCTGAGGGGTCTTCCAGATTTACATCAATCTTACTACGTTCATTCATAAGGAATATCTTCTGCCTTGATATCACATAATACTCTTTATAGGCGTCTGAGAAAAATGGTTTATAGACAACAGAAAAAATAAACATGATTTGAAAAATATGACATTAAAATAAAAGATTAGAAAAATGAGAAGATTAATGGGCTATACTAGATGACAAATTAGAAAGAATAATCTACTGTCAAGATAAAATCAAAATAACCTAATAAATCCTTTTGCAACTACGATAATTTTGTACAAAAGTATTTCATTAAGAAATAATTTTTCAGTGTTTTCAGTGTGACAGGAAAGAAAGCATCCCCTAAGAGCTCAACAAGGAGCTTTATAACAAGCTGGAGATCCAGGAGGACCACTGACTAATTCTTCTCATTTGGCAGATTTTATGAAGCTGAGGATGCTTATCTACCTTACAAAATGAAAAATGGGGCTAGGTTGAGTAAGTTTGCCAAAAAGGTGACACTTACGAAGTCTATCCTTTGTACAAAAACTGTAAGGTATAAACATGCAATGCAGCTTTGATGTATTTATCTTATATTACAACATGTTCTTACATGTGGAGGATTCATATGAAATACTTCATCATCACTGCATTCTACATCATTATAGACAATAGTATTCAGAATGACTGTTATTTTGAAATTAACTCTGAGCACTTCTTGGTTTTGTTTCACCTAGACCATCCAGTCTGTAGTCAGAAGAGAAAGCAAGGAAAGTCAGTAACTACATAAGAATTGCCCATTTGATGAGGAAAAGAAAAATGATACACAAAACATTTACAGAACAGCTTAGTTCACATGAAATATTATTTAAGTCTTGTCTTCCAAATAGAAAGCTGACAAAACTGTATCAGTGAATGTTATGGCAGTGCAAATTCCATTACATTTTAAAAAAAAGTATTTATAATCATTCTTTGCAATAGTTTTTAAAACCTTACAGGCCCACCCCAGACAATCTCTGGGAAAATTTATATAATACAGCTAATATTACAATGTCTTAAAAATATTAGCTTGCTGGACAAATATGTACTTTTGGATAAACAGCACCTGACCTTACAACAGCCATTCTTCTAAATGTTACAGCACTACTAATATCGTTTCAATTAAATAAAAATTAAAGCTGAGAAAATATCACAAAAGGGTAATCTAATATTTGATCGTTAATGTGCTTATGTAAAGTGATATTTACAACAGCATTTTGTGAACTGGACAATTTCTCTTAAAAAAAATGTAGTTTTAATAAATTTTAGTACAGTGCACTTTCGTGGTCTGCATGTTATCCTCAGAAGGGTTGTCAAGCTTCATCTAAGATCAGTTCCTCAGTCTTGAGGATGAAGCTTTCTAACTGAACAAACTTGCATCTTTAGATCAGACTGAAAATTTCCTTAACTGGCCTCTCAAACTGGACAGAATATAACATAGGAGATTATCATGGTATCACTGAAATTAATTTCATGATCTTTAAGGGACCGATTACTTGCTTCCCTTCCCAAATACCTAGATGAGCAATACTCAAAACCACTGAAATCCTTGAAAACCAGCAGTTATGCCCATATACCTCGCAACTGAGAATAACTTACACAGATTAACTGGTTGTCTTCAAACAATATCCATTCCATTAAAGATAGATATACTAAATGGGGGAAAAAATAAAGAGAATGGTTGGTAGAACTGATTACCAGTGTTGGTGCTTCAGGAAATGAGGCAAATTTCTTTGCCTGTCTCTCCCTGTACTCGGCTCTGGTGAGGCCGCACCTCGAGTACTGTGTTCAGTTTTGGGCCCCTCGCTACAAGAAGGACATCGAGGTGCTTGAGCAGGTCTAAAGAAGGGCGACGAAGCTGGTAAGGGGCCTGGAGAGCAAGTCCTATGAGGAGCGGCTGAGGGAGCTGGGCTTGTTCAGCCTAGAGAAGAGGAGGCTCAGGGGTGACCTTATTGCTCTGTATAAGTACATTAAAGGAGGCTGTAGCGAGGTGGGGGTTGGCCTGTTCTCCCATGTGCCTGGTGACAGGACGAGGGGGAATGGGCTAAAGTTACGCCAGGGGAGTTTTAGGTTAGATGTTAGGAAGAATTTCTTTACTGAAAGGGTTGTGAGGCACTGGAACGGGCTGCCCAGGGAGGTGGTGGAGTCACCATCCCTGGAAGTCTTCAAAAGACGTTTAGATGTAGAGCTTAGGGATATGGTTTAGTGGGGACTGTTAGTGTTAGGTTAGAGGTTGGACTCGATGATCTTGAGGTCTCTTCCAACCTAGAAATTCTGTGATTCTGTGATTCTGTTCCTGCATAGTCTAAGCACAGATGGCCATGTGAGCTTTGGTGTGCTGAGACACAGCTAGCTGCTACCAGTCTGCAGGGTAAGTGCAAGAAGAAACATAAACTACTAGTTTCTAAAGAATCACAATACTTTTATGACCTGTAGATACCTTTTCCTCTTATGCATCCAACTTAATTCTTTGAGTTACAGTAAGGCTTATATCTGCTCCTTAAGAGAATTATCTTCTTGAAATTAATTATATTCCAACAAAGCATTATTTTTTACTATGTGTTCTTAAGAATTTTCATTTGGTTATATAGATAGCCCAATTACTCAGATCAAAATAGAACTGTGTTTTGCTCTAAAGTTCCACAGAAAATGTAAGTTTAACATCATTACAATTAAAACAAAATGCTAGAATAAGCCTTTGTATCACTAAGGTCTACAGAACTTTCAGACAGCAACCTTGATCTCTTTGCGTATTGAAGGTAATGATATACCATTTCTATCTAACGTTTGCATCTCAAAGAGTTTCTGTTCATAACAAACGAAATAGATCTCCTTAGAAAGGCCTGCCTTCGTGTATTACGTTACTTGGTGGGCAGCCAGATGTTCTGTTCTACTAGAACACAGAGCATGCTGGCAACATGAACGTGTGCTTCAGAAATCAACATTCAAATGAGTAGGAAAGAATCTAATTAGACAGCAAGATATTAATTACCAGTATCCAGCTGAGAAAGCAGAGCTTTCCTTACTGCCAATATATAGCTGTTACAGTAAAGACTTATAAGTTTTTCTTGTGAAGCTTTCATTAAATAAATAATGTTAGCTTACAATATTGTTTACTTATAAATAGTAACGAACTTAGAAAAAATCATAACAGTCAAGGATACTAATATTTGCCTTTTTCATACATCATTCTCATTGATATGAACTAAGGACACATTATGTCCCTAAAGATTTCCTGCATTAACATCTCTGAATTTTTTGAAATTAAAATTTACAGCATATGATGGAACAATTTGCCAGAGTTGGCCAGACACCACTTAGGCTTAAAAAAAAAAAAAGAAAAAAGAAAAAAAAAGTTTAGGATTTCCCAAGCCTTCAAAAACCATTATTGTGGGATATAATCAGGTATTTCTGAAAGCACAACTCTGTAACTGAAGTTTTCTTAAAATCCAACCTTTCTCCATTTGTCATCAAGGGAAGATGTATATATAGGGCCTGAGCTTAACAAGCTGTAGTTTATATTTTAACAGAAATGAAGATGACTCATCTACTTTACTAAAAAGGACAGTGAAATCTGAAAATGATTTTGACTTCACTGGAAGGATAGCAGGCACCATTTTCCCTTATGTAGAAATGATGACTAAGCTTATCCTTTGTACAGTGGAATGGATTTTATCTCTTCTTTTACACCAAGGGAGTCATGGCAAATACAGAAAAATTTATTCAGGAAGATAATGAGAGATTATAAGAAAGTACTGTCTTCCAGATAGCAGAGAACAGTAGAACTTAACCTCATCGAAATCTTAAGCATCATCTTTGAATTATCTTGGATGCCCAAGAAGCCTTTTTTGTGTTCCTAACGCAATGTAGTTCTGATATAATACAACATACACAGCTTTTCCTTACATTTTTAAACAAACAAAAAAAATGGGTTAGCCTAAATTCACTTTTTTTTTTTTTTTTTTTAATTTTAATTTTCCTCTTTTACAGACAAAGCAAACACACTGAGAAAGTAAAAGGAAGGTTTCACAGACAGGAAGAGCACTCCCTGTTGATCACTCACAGCAGATACAACACCCACATAAAGAGAAGGGTACTTAGCCAAGAATAGATGGCAAGTGCTCTCCTGTGACCATGGAATTGCATATATTTAGGATCCTTTTGCTTTATGTAGTTTATCAAACCTTCAGCTGCTAGTTTCTGAAACATCAGAGCTTTGTCACCCTCAGTTCAGTGGTGAGTCCTGCATAGTCTGTCTTGATCATTTAAATATGCAGATTTGTTCTCATTTAGTCAATTGTTTCCTATGTTTTATACTGTCAGACAATCTTTCTTCTGTCAAGACTACTAGCAAATTCTCTCTTTAGCATTTTCAAAGGCAAGAATGAAACTCCAGCTTCAGGTGAAGAATGAAGCAGCTTGTGGGAGTGCCAAGTTAATTAGAGCCAATTATAACTTGATTGACTTACCTTGGCATTAGAGTGACTAGGAATGTGTTAGATGGAAATTTTGCATCTATACACATTTGTGATTTATAGGAAGCTGTTTCACGGATTGCAAGGCTCATTCCATCTGCTAATTAAAAGAAGAGTGTCCAATTTAGGTTAGAAACTGTTTTCTTATCCTTGAAGAAACTGTCAAATAGTGTCAGAAAGACCAACCCTCACAAGCACAGCTGTTCTGCTTTTTCATGCCTCCCTTCCCCACCCCCTATCTTTTTTTTTCTTTGCATCGTCTCCCCAAATACTTTATAATTCTGAGCTGTATCTTAGACTGAAAACTGAAGTTGTTTCAGCATTCCTCACATAAACCTACCTTTAGGAAAAAAAAAAAAAAAGGAATAAAAATCTAGTCATAATGAATAGAAAACCTATCAATTCTTTGGAGCAATCACACTTCTGGGGCTCTATAAAATATTAACAACTGTGACAACTTTCAGTATGTTTGTCATTTAGTCTTCATCTTCCATGTTCTTATCCATAAAACTGTTCATAATGTTTAGACTGTGGCTTTGTTTTAAGTAGTAAACCCTGGAATTCCTAACATGGCTTCGTCACATAGAATAATTCCTCTGATCTCACCTCACTCACAGAAGCAATTCTCATCGATGATAGTAATTCAATTCCCTTCAGAGAAGTAGGCAGTTTTTGATCCTCATTAGTCAATGGTGAGGATCGACTAACACAGGTCAGAAGGAATGTAAGTTGTTTTTAATAGGCAATAGATATTGAACGTAATTGTAGTAATAAACCCCGATTGTAAATGCATCAAGGGCAATATTGAGAATATGCTGTGGTTATTTTATTTTTATTTTTATTTATTTTTATTTTTTCTTATTATTACCTGCATCTTTCTATTTTCCCTGCTTTCTATTCAAGTTGCCTAATATTTCCTTTGCTATTCTGGTTTAGTGCTTTTAAATTCTGTCTTTTTACACTTAATCCATCTTTCTTTTCACTGACGGTTTTATTTGATTGGATTTATTTGAAAAACTAAGACCACTACTATTCTGTTGCTTTACATAATATACCTGCAATTTACTGCCATAAGATGAATTTGCTATAGTGAAACTTTCTGAGAAGATTCTAATGGTTTTTTTTCCACATAGTAGTTTAATGTGAAATAATTTTCTAAGATTAATTTTATGCATCATTTAGATGAGTTAAATCCCAAGTAAGGCAGCCCTTAGCTTAATTATTCTAAATCATTCCATAACTTTTATGTAACATAATAAATGTGGACTTTATTTGCTTCTGGGGAAATAGTTAAATTTTGCATACATTCATAACTAACCGAAGTACAAAGTAATTAAAGCTTTTCAGTGCTTTCTGATAAGCATTACCACGACATAGCAATTAAGCCCTCAAAAAATCACTAAGAAGATGCATGAAATTACAGTCTTTTAAAATCAGTATTAAAATGTGGAATCTGTTTAACTTTTTGTAGTGTACATGTGTGTGTATCCCAGGTGATGCCTGGAAATAAATGTATCAAAGTTCTAACAAAAAGGAACTCCTAAGTTTGGCTCCAGAGAATGGTTTTCAAAAGTTTAAATACAGTTTTCACCATTGGCAGCAGGAAAGATTACAGAATCTGTCATCTTGATGAATTCCCAGAATTGCTGCCCATTCTAAATATCCAATTTACCATTTTGCACACACAAAGTCTGCTAATGCTGCCCTGAGTATGCATAAATGGTGTCTGAAGCAGCTTTGGAAGCTCACACTATCTGGATGGGTGGCAGAAAGATCATAAGGTATTTCACATAGCAGTTACATTGATGGCAGCTCTAAGAATGATACAGCTATTGAGTGCAAGGTTGTATCTCACAGACTACAACTGGCAAGAACAGGTTTCAAGAAGCAAACATGTTACCCTGGGTTCTTTAATTATATATAATAAAATTAAAAATAAATATTAATAATATATTATATATAAGGAAAATCTCTTTTTTAATTGTTAAGGACTATGTAGAATTCATTTAAAAATCATGTCTAAAATGCTAAAATTTTAGAATGACATTGATAACAACCAGGCTTGGCAGCATGGCTTGTTATCATTATCCTTGCTTCTAGGAGCTAAACACAGTAGCCATGTACGTCATTAATTTCAGCAAAACTGGGATTATTCTCAGACATTAGAAAAAAAGGCAGTGCATTGCTGTGTCAGTCTTTGTTTTTTCCACTTTTCTCAATAGCATCCATACTGCTGTACCAAATTCACCTTGATGGCATGCCAGGCCCCTTCTGGCATTAGTGTGGTAAAACTATTTTAAAATATTGGTTCTATGCCATAATTAGCACATAAAGTAAGAAAGAATCCAAAGTGTAAGACAAATCCTTAGTGTCTCCATGTCTCATGTCTATTACTTGAGTAATGCTTCAGTGCCTCTGAACTGGATTAGACTGTCAACTATCTCTCTTTATTTATTTATTTATTTATTTATTTATTTATTTATTTATTTATTTAACCAGTATTCAAGCATTACAAACCAGGACTAATTCAGAAATAAGCTGAGCCTTATTTTGGGGGTAGTGAAACACACCAATATCATTAATACCTCATTTCTTTACACTCATATTTATATAAAAGACCATGACACCATAAAAGGTAACCAAAAGCAGCAGTTCACAAAGTTTCACAAGTTTCTCATCACTAATGTAAATTTAGACTGAAATCTTCCTTGCTTCCTTTTAAGACTAGGCATATATTATAAGTCCTCCCCTCTGCCCCTTTTCTGAAAGTGTCCTACTCCTGAATACCCGTCACACTCCTCCTTTTTGCATTGAAAAAAATAGTTTGGGCTGAAGTAGCAGTTAGCGAGCACAGCACCAGAATAAAAAACAACAACAACAAAACCCACACCAGATTAACTGCAATTCTTTCAGAGATGTAAGGCTAACAGATCTTTAGCATTTATAGAAATGTTTCCAAGCCACTAACACTAAAAGATTATTGAAACAGAAAATATCATCCTTCTATTCTCAGTACTGCCTTGCTGAATAAAAGATATGTATTCTCATTTTAGCATTATTAAAAAAAAAAAAAAAAAAAAAAAAAAAGACTAGTAGACTAGTAAATGACTAAATGAAAGTAGTATCCAGAAGTAATACACACACGAACATAGAACAGGTTTGATCAGAAACATACATAAACACCTACAATGTCAGAAAGTTAGACTTGAAAATTATGTATTACAGATCTTCATTTCACCAGTGGTGGAAACATTTTTGAAAGAAAATAGCATTCTGTGAATGCCTCTGATATTACTTCAGCTTCATATAACTGCAAAAAGTATATACATTATATGACTTAATGAAAGGATATAACAACTGTGCTGTTAAATGTACAGTACAGTGCAAGTTTGGTCCATCTTGTAGCCAATAAAAACATGAAATACTGAAAAGGTCATCCATTTCAACCCTCTCCCACAAAATTAGCAAAGAAGAGAAGAGCAGTAAACAAAGAAGAAAAGTAAAATTTTCAGTAATCCATTTATAGAATATTGAAAAGGTCACAACAATATTGTATACTCTCTTAATTCTTTGAATATACGAGGCTTTAAAATTCCAATATCTCACTGAAGGTTGTAATGAGAACATAACAGAAATGTGAACCTATTATTTTGACAGTGATTTTAATGAGAATGTGAAATGCTATAAACTTAATGTACTTGAAGTGAATCTGTCATCTTATATTTATATAATGATATAAATAAAAATAATATACATAGGCACATGTATAGACGAATAGATACCACAGATTTTATCTATAAAAAACAGTGTTGCAGAAACACTTTGCTTTCAATTCTAGCTCATAAGATAAAATACAGTTTAATAAAAAGTCTTAAAAAGACTTTTGAACACTGAAGTGTTTCTTTCCTCATATTCTTTGCTACCTTACTGTAGGTCTGCAATTTTGTGACTCAATTAAACCCATTTATGAAATGATAACAGATCCCTCCGCTAGATGATTTTTGTACAGATCAACACTTAAAGTTGCATAATATTCAGTTCCTCCATTTTTATTTGCATCCTATTTATCTTTAGGGATTCGTATATCTGTAGTGTATCGTGTCTACATTCATTTCTTGAAGACTTTTACAGTTTGGGAGTTTTAGAAGATGGTGGAAGATTAAGAAATGTAGTTTAGAATGAATCCAGAAAAGGGCCATGAAGATGACTAGGGGGCTAGAGCACCTCTCCTATGAAGAAAGGCTGAGGGAGTTGGGGTTTTTCAGCATGGAGAAGAAAAGGCTCTGGGGAGACCTTTTAGTACCTAGAGAGGGCCTATAGGAAAGCTGGGGATGGACTCTCTCAGGGAGTGTAGTGACAAGACAGAGGAGAATGGTCTTAAACCAAAAAAGGGTAGATTTAGATCGGATATTTGTAATAAATTCTTTATTCAGAAGGTGATGAAGCACTGGAAGAGGTTGTGCAGAGAAGTTATGGATGCCCCATCCCTGGAAGTGTTCAAGACCAGGTTGGATGGAGCTTTGAGCAACCTGTTCTAATTAATGCAAGGTGTCCCAGCCTGTGGCAAGTGGTCTTTAAAGTCCCTTCTGTCCAAAACCATTCTGTGATTCTATGATTAATGATCTGTTTAGATGGCCTTTGCAGCTAGAATTCACTAATGAGTTTGGGCAAAATGACTTTTCCTCTGCTTTCATATTAATAAATCTATTATTTAGATGATGCTCAACTCTGTGGCAACTCTTAGTGTTAGACAAATTCCATTAAGAAGTTCATAGAACATTACAGTTACATAGAACATACAGTACAGACAGTTACAGAGACTAGCAATAAACTGCTTGTTTAGCCTTACCTGA